CAGACCTAGGAGCTGAGAACTCAATCCAGGCCTCTCATGTGGGTGGCAGGAACCCAATAACTTAAACCATCACCACTGTTTCACAGTATCTGCACTGGCAGCAAGCTGGAGTCAGGAGTCAGAGCCAGGCATTGAACCACAGGTATTCCGCCATGGGATGCAGGCACCCCAGCTGGCATCTTGACCACCAGACCAGTTCCCATTTAACAGTTATTAAATATTTGGACCATCCTTCCTTGATGGGGGTCAGGGTACAAAGGAAAAACTCAGAGCGCCTGGAAGGCCTTTTGAGAGTGAGGAACATTCAGAGGCAGCAGGAAGGCTGAAGGCCACACCCTATGGGAACGCCGAGATGGCCTGAGAGGGCGTAGGGAGCTGTGATGACGACACAGTGGGGGTGCTCCTTCTCAGCCTGTGTGTTTGCCTCTTCCCGTGGCAGGAGAACCCCATATCCAGTTCCATGGTACCAAGGGCAGGTAGGGCAGTGAACAAAATGTGATGGCTTTCAAAACAGTACAGGCAGTTCACTCACCAAACGGAGTCAAGTGGCTTCCTAGTGATTATTCTTTGGGATTTCTAGAAAGTAGAGTTTGGGAGCATATAATTGGCCTGGGAACAGGGATTCTCTGGGAAAAACCCCAGGAGTCAGACTGTCTGCCAAGAACTGGCAGCAATGAGTAAAAGGAAAAACTCTCTGATTCCTTTCTCTTTATTTCCAGATCGTTTGCCAGTTTCCCCAACACCATTTGTTGAATAATCTACCCTTTCCCTACTGATCCGAAATGCTAGTTTCCTCAAGAACAAATTCTCCATGTTCTTGGATCTATTACTGAGCCTTGTACTTTTTTATTCTCTGTGAAGTACAGTGCTTGAAACATGTCTTTTAAATCAAACTAATTAATTGCACCATTCAGATCTTCAACTTCCTTATTTTTTCCCTATTCATCTGTCAAAGACTTAAAGAGGTGTATTAAATTTCTCATCACCATGCTGTCAATTTCTCCATGAATATCAAATATTTTGCTTTCATATGTTTTGATGCAACATTATGCTACAGACAAAAGTTAGTGTCAGTTAACAGTCACTGTGAATTGTAGCTGTTATCAAAACAAAACCACGCTTTGGGGTTTAAAATTCTGAAGGAAAGGTGGTTTGGTTGCTGTCTCTTCTCAAGTTCATTCCAAAGCAACAAAGAGAAACTGAAGCTTAAATTCCATCTTGGATGAAACCAGGCTACTTCTACAACCCTCACCAACAGGAAGTGGAGAAGGCAGATAAATGGACTAATCCTAAATGCCATGGGAGAAAGATCCCACACTCAATCACCTCCAGGGCCCTCAGTTCTGCCTGTCGCTGCCCTACATTGTCAGATAATTACTCCCAATACAAAGCCAGAGACAAATATTTTTAAACACTGCAGTAGAGTCAGCACTGTAGCAGAGCAGGTTAAGCTGCTCCCTATGATGCCGGCATCCCCTCCATGCATGGACTGAGTCCCAGCTGCTCTGCTTCCGATCCAGCTTCCTGCTAATGCAAGTGGAAGGGCAACAGAAGATGGCCCAAGTACCTGGGCCCCTGCCACCCATGTGGAAGAAGCAGGTGAAGTTCCAGGCTTCTGGCGTCCACCTGGCCCAGCCCCGATCATTGCTGCCATTTGGAGAATGAACCAATGAATGGAAGACCTCTGTCTCTCTCTTTCTCGTTCTCTCTCTCTCTCTCTCTCTCTCCCTCTGCCTTTCAAATAAATAAAGTAAATCTTAAAAATAAAAGTCACACTAGAGATACATTACACATTGAGTAGGGACAGAGTGAGACATCAGGTTGAAAACAGAAGGGGGCTGGCACTGTGGTGTAGCAGGTAAAGCTACCACCTGCAGCACCAGCATCCCATATGGGCAACAATTTGAGTCCCAGCTGTTCCACTTCTGATCCAGCTCTCTGCTATGGCCTGGGAAGGCAGTAGAAGATGGCCCAAGACCTTGGGCCCCTGCACCCAACCAGGAAGAAGCTCCTGGCTCCTGGCTTCATATCAGCACAGCTTCGGCCACTGAGCCAATTGAGGAGTGAACCAGCAGATGGAAGACCTCTCTCTCTCTCTCTGCCTCTCCTCTCTCTGTGTAACTCTTTCAAATAAATAAAAAAAAAAGAGGAAGAAGAAGAAAACAGAAGGCCTGGGTAAAAGTCTGCATATTGAATACTGAGAACATTTCATATAGCTTCAGAATTTTGGGTGCTACACTGGGAAAACGAAATCCTTCTATATACACCCAAAGCAAAGACTTACTGACACTGGAAAAGGTAGCTGGTGACTTGTTTATTACACACTGAAATCCCCCACTTCCACCTACAAAGTTTACTATTATTTACATTATTCATCTTTAATGATTTACTACCAAGTGTAAATTGAATCATATACTCTAAGAATCTCTGGAAAAGCTTCTGATAGGAAAGACAGGAATCAAAGCAAACAAAAATAAGACGAACAAAAATAAAAACTATGCAGGGAGCAGTAGAAATTTTAAAGAAGCTCTAATTAATATATTCTCAGAGATAATAAAATAGAGTGCATCAGTGAAACAAATACTGCGTGCTGTTTACAAAAGAGGGAGCAATCAGAGAAAAAGAAACAGCTTTTGGAAATTAAAAAAATGTAATAACTGTAATTTAAAGTTCAATAAAGCACTGGGAAAACACAGTTGAAAAATCCTTAAGAAGTTATATTAAAACAACAAAGAAACAGATAAGAGGGAGGAATCCAACTCAATTTCATTCTAGTTTTAGAATGAAAAATTAAGAAATTGCAAGAGATGCGTCAGAGGAATAATAAAAATTATCTTCCCACATAACTGAAAGATTGGAGATTCCAGTTAGAAGAATTTAGTCTCCGTAAAACGTGATCAAATGCTTACATCAGTATGCACAGTAGCACCATCACCATTTCAGAACCTTAGGGGAGAAGATCCTCTGAAGTTAATCTCATGAGCCCACTGGACTGGGCTAAGGGAGACCTGGGTGCTGGGTAAAACATTATTCCTGGGTGTGTCTGGAAGGTATTAGCATTTTTTTGTTTTTGTTTTTAAGATGTATTCATTTGGGGCCAGTGCTGTGGCACAGCGGGTTAATGCCCTGGCCTGAAGTGCCAGCATCCCATATGGGTGCCTGTTCGAGACCCAGTTGCTCCACTTCCAATCCAGCTCTCTGCTATGGCCTGGGAAAGCAGTAGAAGATGGCCCAAGTCCTTGGGCTCCTTCACCCGTGTGGGAGACCAGGAGGAAGCTCCTGGCTCCTGGCTTCAGATCGGCGCAGCTCTAGCCGTTGCAGCCATGTGGGGAGTGAGCCATCAGATTGAAGACCTCTCTCTCTCTCTGCCTCTACTCTCTCTGTGTAACCCTGACTTTCAAAAAAAAAAAGATTTATTCATTTATTTGAAAAGCAGAGCTACAGAGAGGCAGAAGCAGAGAGAGAGGTCTTCCATCCTCTGGTTCACTCCCCAGATGGCCACAACAGCCGGAGCTGCACTGATCTGAAGCCAGGAGCCAGGAGCTTCTTGCAGGTCTCCCACATGGGTGCAGGGGCTCAAGGACTTGGGCCATCTTCCACTGCTTTCCCAGGCCAACGCAGAGAACTGGATCAGAAGTGGAGCAGCCGGGACTCGAACCGGCGCCCATATGGGATGCCGGCACTGCAGGCGGAGGCTTCACTCTCTGCCTCCTACTTTGCCGGTTTCTATACCCCTTTGCTCCTTCCTTTCCAAACTTGATTGTGTCCAGATGCCAATGTGTCTATCTCAACATCTGTGCAGTGTTAGATTGCCTTGCAGTTAGAGGCGCCATGTCCTGTATAATTGCATGTACCTGCTTTCATATGGCTACCACAGCAAGTCTGTTCATACCAGCAACACAGGAGGGCTGTGCTGTGCTCACAGGTTGTGACGTGCGCCAGGACACGAGGTGATAGAAGTTTTCAGTTTTGTCGTACTCTCAGGGAACTGCCGGCACATATGTGGTCTGACATTTGAAGCATCGTTGTGCGGCGCGGGACCATCTAAGTACTTTTATCCCGATCTTCTTGTTTAGATCTTTTTGTTTCAGATGTGTAAATTGCAGACAGTATAAATGCCAGTTTTAGGATTTTGACCCAGTTTGGAATTCTCTGTCTCTTGAAAGGGAATCTTGACCCGTTTTCATTTATTGATAGAACCGCTGTGTCTGATCTTTCCTCTCACATCTTTCGCTATGCGTTCTACCTTTTAATGTTTTCTTTGCTTCTTCTGGTAAGTAGATTTAGCACTTTGAGAGACATATTCTGTTTTAGTTCTACTGATTCTTATCTGTAAGTCTTTTTTCGAAAATGCTTTTGAAAAAGCATTTCTTAGTTTGCATTTCATTGTCAGAGACAGGACTGAGGCACTCATCCCATTGGGTGTTTAAAGCAGTGCAGAGACTTTACTGTCTTATTCTTTCCTGGTTCACCCTCTACCATTAATTGTTTTTCCTCCCCTTATGATCCAAATTTGCTTTCTTTTCACAACTTATTCTTAAGAATAAGATATGATCTTAAAATTTTACATTTATCGACTCTATATACTTTGATCCATGTCACAAACCTTGCCCCACATATTGTACTAGATGACAGTTTTAGAAAAAGGAACATGAGGGGCCAGCGCTGTGGCATAGTGGGTAAAGCTGCTGCCTGCGGCGCCAGCATCCCATGTGGGCTCCAGTTCGAGTCCCAGCTGCTCCACTTCCAACCTAGCTCTCTGCTGTGGACTGGGAAAGCAGCCGAAGATGGCCCAGGTCCTTGGGCCCCCGTACTTGTGTGGGAGACCCAGAAGAAGCTCCTGGCTCCTGGCTTCAGATCAGCACAGCTTTGGCCATTGCGGCCATCTGGGGAGTAAGCCAGCAGATGGAAGACCTCTTCCTTTCTCTGCCTCTGCCTCTCTGTTAACTGCTGCTTTCAAATAAATAAGTAACTCTTTAAAAAGAAAAAGGAACACAAACCTTGCTCTCCAGATACTTGATGTCCACCAGGAAGCCAGCACAGTCCAGGTCAGTGACTCAGCAGAGGTGCGCCTGTGTGGCGGGGGAGAGCCTGGGAGAAGCACGCAGCCTGGCCAGGCGTCTCAGGGAGGGCTTCTGGGTGGAAGTGACTGCTGAGCAGAATCTTACAGCCTGACACTGATTATTCAGTCCAATGAGCAGAGAGGGAAAGAGGGAGGGAGGGGAGGGAGGGACGGAGAGAGAGAGAGAGGGAGAGAGGGAGAGAGAGAGATTGTTTCAGGCATAGGAATAATGAGTAAAGACAAGGAAGCCAGAGGATGCCTTGGGTTTAGGTAAATAGCTCCGTGTTGAAGCCACTTTGCAGCTGACTTGGAAAGGAAGGATCAGAGGGGTGTGGCTGATCATTCCACCCACTGGGTCACAGATGGCCTCAAAAGTCACGCTCAGCAGGGTGCTGGTGAGGACTCATGAACAGGACACTGATGGAGCAGGAGAGAGGTAGGAACGAGAACGGAGAGTCAGGCCTCTTATGGTCATTAATACATCTATAAAAAAACAAAGTGATGGGCCGGCGCCGTGGCTCACTTGGTTAATCCACCACCTGCGGCATCAGCATCCCATATGGGCGCTGGGTTCTAGTCCTGGTTGCCCCTCTTCCAGTCCAGCTCTGCTGTGGCCCAGGAAGGCAGTGGAGGATGGCCCAAGTGCTTGGGCCCTGCACCTGCATGGGAGACCAGAAGGAAGCACCTGGCTCCTGGCTTCGGATTGGCGCAGCACGCCGACCATAGCAACCATTTTGGGGGGTGAACCAACAGAAGGAAGACCTTTCTCTCTGTCTCTCTCTCTCTCTCTCACTGTCTAACTCTGCCTGTCAAAAGAAAAAAAGTGAAGAGCAAGGCATGGAGAAGGAGAGATGAGTACAGCAGGAGACCCCAAGACAGAGGAGATCATCCTGTGCTACTCCTAACTGGCCCAACCTCTCTCCAGCTCGATACAAAGTTTCCCTAGAATTGGAATGGGAGCTTCCGGTTAAAAAATAGCAGCTGGGGGTGGGGGGGACACGTCTCATTGATCACAGCACCATAGTTTGTATTCAGGCAGAAAATGTATCGGATAGCAGCAGCCTGTGAGATTACAGAGAGGCTGGGGCCATCCTCGTTCCCCTGCCTCAATTCTCGCCTGCCCCTTGTGATGGTTCTCCCTGTACAAGCAGAGATAGTTGACCTGGGCTTGGCAATGGTAGGAGTTATAAGCAGAGACAAGGTTTCTTAGTTTATCTCAGGAGGCTTCAGGTAGAGTGGTGATGTGGATGTTAATGGTTGGGCAGAGGAGGGTGGAGGTCCTCAGGTGGCATTCCTATTACTTCTGTGTCAACACCTTTATAATTAACCCAAAGCCCTTGGACATTCTGCTCCTTTTCAGTCACTTTTCTCTTGCATGTCAGTCTCCAAAGTTTTGTTGACATTGCTTCAGGCTCATCTACTCTTTCCTGAGTTGATCCCAGTCTCCTGATGAGCCCGTCCATGGTATTCTGCGTTTCTATTAGGGTGTTGTGATTTCTTGTATTTCCTTTCGATTCTTTCTTAAGGTTTGCTTCTCTCCACTCACGTTATCTATCTGTTCTTGCATGTTGTCCACTTTCTCCATCAGAGGTCTTAGCATGTTCATCGTAGTTGTTTTAAACTCCCAGATGGGGCCGGTGCTGTGGCATAGCGGGTAAAGCCACTGCCTGCAGTGCTGGCATCCCATATGGGTGCCGGTTCAAGACCTGGCTGCTTCACTAACAATCCAGGTCTCTGCTGTGGCGTGGGAAAGCAGGGGAAGATAGCCCAAGTCCTTGGGCCCCTGCACCAGCAAGGAAGACCCAGAATAAGCTCCTGGCTCCTGGTTTCAGATTGGCTCAGCTCCAGCTGTTATGGCCATTTGGGGAGTGAACCAGCTGATGGAAGACCTCTCCGTCTCTCTCTCACCGCTGCCTATCTGTAACTCTGCCTTTCAAATAAATAAATCTGTAAAAAAATAAATAAATAAACTCCCAGATGAGTTCCAACATCATTGCCATACATGAATCTGCTTCTGATACTTGTTGTGTTTCTTAAAAAAAAAAAAAAGATTTATTTATTTACTTGAAAGGCAGAGTTACAGAGAGAGAGAGAGACACAGAGATCTTCCATTCAGTGGTTCATTCTCCAGATGGCTATAATAGCCAGGGCTGGGCAAGCCAGGAGCCAGGAGCCAGGAGCCAGGAGCTGTATCAGGGTCTCCTACATGGGTGCTGGGGTCCAAGGACCTAGGCCATATTCTGCTGTTTTCCTAGGCACATTAGCAAGGAGCTGGATTGGAAGTGGAGCAGCCGGGACTCGCACTGGCACCCATATCAGATGCCAGGATTGCAGGCGATGGCTTAACCAGCTACGCCATAATGCTGGCCCCTGTTCTGTTTCTTTAAACTGTGGTTTTTGTCATTTAGCATGCCTTTTCCCTTATTGCTGCAAGCCAGACTCGAGGTTCTAGAAAAGGAGCTCAGTGGTGGTTCCTGCAGTGTTTTTTGCCACTGGCTTTGCTCCCATAAGTTATGGCTCTCTGTATCTGCTCATTTGTCTCTTCCACTGTACTGTCAGTGGTCTGCCCTATGACCTCAGTTTTCTGTCTGATCTAAGAACCCTTGCTGTGTGGTTGGGAAAGATGAATGGCAAGTTTCTAACATGTTGGACTGGAAACCCACAGATGTCCCTATCTTGAGTTATAATTATTAGGAATTTGTAAAATAATATTAAGGAACCTGGTCTTAGAACTTAAGGATGGAAGCATTCAATGACTCATTTTGAGGCTTATTTAGCGAATGACAGAGAAGGACTATGATTTTCTTCAGGTGGGGATGTTTAAAGAGAGCCAGTGTTTTCTTATAGACACATAGAACTTAAGAAGACTCCACCTCCCATTTTACAGATAAGCTTACAGAGGTTCAGAGAAGTAAAGCAATTTTCTCAAGATCACACAGCTGATGACAGATTCAGGTCCTAAATTGAGGTCTCCTGGATCCTTTCAGCATATCCTCCATAGGATACATGTCTCTCTGGGTCTATGCCCCTGAAGACACAAGGAGTCCTTCAGCGGTCATTCAGAGAGACAAGTCACCCAATCTGAAGTTGGGGAAGGGGTGGCCTTGTCGAGGAGGGGGCTGCAGGGAGGAAACACCAGGATGATGCAGAACCAGGAAGAAACAGCCCGGCTGGAGGAAAGATGTGGTTTTTTTTTTTAAAAGACTGGGACTTAGACGTTGTAGGAATATTGCCACATTTCTTCTCCCTGGAGTTCAGCACCTGCCCAAGTCCGCAATTGTCTGCACGCTGATGCCCTCTAGTGGTTTGACGAAAGAGCGCCCTTTCCCCAAACTCGACTGCAGGGGAACCGCAGAGCAGAGACCCTGGGGGGAGGGAAAGAAACGGTCCCTCTGTCCTCCTTCTCTCTGGTTCACATTCGTCTAGCCAGACTTCGGAAGACGTACCCTTTCACTTCTTTTTATTCGACAATCCAAAGACATTTAAGAACACAAGTGAAGGAAAGCACTGCCCCATATGGGGAACCATCTGTATCTAAGTTTGAGGAGGAGACACGGGAAGCCACGGGAACGCATGAACACCACACTGAGAGGGTCACACCCGCTGTTCTAGGGAGGGTGAGGAAGGCGAGCCCCGAAGTTGGCAAAATTCAAGAAGCTCCTTTTCGTAATAATAATAATAATAATAATGCAATATTAGGTAGAAATATGGGAGAGTCCGGATAATCGGCTTGTTGGTGAATGATCACACACCTGCTCATGTATGTGTGTGCAGACAGGAAATGAAGGCATAGAGCAGAGCTATTTTCACTTTCTAATACTATTGCTGAACTCCGATAGCTCATGAGAATGAAGTCACCTTGGGAAGCGGTACGCTTGCTCAATATTTAGCACGTATCTGGAATTGCTTCTTGGAATTGCTTTCCCATCCTTCGGTGTATTCCTTGAAATACCATGAAGGCTGGCAACTTTTATCATTGGAGTGCAGATTCATTTTCTTTCTTTCTTTTTTTTTGAAAAAGCCAAATCCACGCAGAACCAATCCTGATCTGAGCTGAGATAGGTAGTCAGATGGAATGTGCTGTTTTATATCAAGAGGAAAGACTCATTTTAAAAGCTATCAAACTCTTTGCCCTTTTGTTGCTTCTATGCTAGCTTGTGAAGAAGTTCCACTGAAAAGGAATTCCGAAATATTCTCAGCGGTGAGAAAAATCAGTGGATGAGGTATGGGTGTGGCTGTGAGTTCGCTGACTTTACGAAGGGGAACTGACCCAGGTCCCAGCTGCTGAGCTGTGAAACCCATTTGTTCTCGCAGAAGCCAGGCCTCCCACAGCTGCTCTTCTACAAAAAGAGAAGGGGCACAAGAGGAGGGAGACCGTTCATAGCACCACTCCCCTCGTGACTGACATGGGCTCAAAGATGTACTAGGACTGCACTGGGGGACGGTGCTGTGGCACAGTGGGCTAAGCCTCCGCCTGCAATGCTGGCATCCCATATGGGCACCAGTTCAAGTCCCGGCTGCTCCTCTTCCGATCCAGCTCTCTGCTGTGGTCTGGGAAGCAGTAGAAGATGGCCCAAGTCCTTGGGTCCCTGCACCCACATGGGAGACCTGGAGGAAGCTCCCGGCTACTGGCTTCAGATCAGTCCAGCTCCAGCTGTTACAGCCATTTGGGAAGTGAACCAGCAGATGGAAAACCTTTCTCTCTGTCTCTCCCTCTCTCTGTCTGTAACTCTATCTTTCAAATAAATAAATAAAATCTTTAGGAAAAAAAAAAAAGAACTTCACTGAACATTTTCTAGACAACCAAGGAAGTCTGGGAAATCTATTCCTGAAAATCATCTCTCCCTCTGGCCTTCACCCAAGATCAAAAGTGCATGGTCAGCCGGCGCCATGGCTCACTAGGCTAATCATCCGCCTGCAGCGCCGGCACGGGGTTCTAGTCCCAGTTGGGGCGCCGGTTCTGTCCCGGTTGCTCCTCTTCCAGTCCAGCTCTCTGCTGTGGCCCGGGAAGGCAGTGGAGGATGGCCCAAGTGCTTGGGCCCTGCACCCCATGGGAGACCAGGAGGAATCACCTGTCTCCTGGCTTCCGATCGGTGCAGTGTGCCAGCTGTGGCG